TATTGCTATTGCTATTGTTCTACATCCCCGTGAGGCTTAATGAACAGAATGAGTCTATTTTCATTTCTGAACAAAAGGAAAATTAACCATGTATAAGTATTTAAAGAATTTGAAATAAATGGCAAAAATTGAAATAATTTTTTTAGCCTAGTTAGTTATACATGAATTAAGGGGTCCAGGCAAGTTTAGAATATTGAAATTTTACTATAAGGTTTTGGAACTAACTATATAAAATAGCCACTCAGAGCAGTGGTGGTTTTCCATTATTTTTATGACTGTTTTGCTCGTGGATATGCGTGTGCTTGCGCAAATGTCTGGGTGGGTCAGTGGAGCCTCCCATCACCACTACTACTGGTTTGCCCCAATCTGGGATGAACCGGTAGCAACCCACCTCTGGCTGGGGAATTCTGGGAGTTGAAGTCCAGACATCTTCAAGTTGACAAAGTTGAGAAACACTGAGTTCAGAGAACCGATTGTTGGAAGAAATTTCCTTTTGTTTATTTCCACTTTACAGGGCTAATCCTATAAGGAAGGCAGGAAGGAAACATTCTAGTGTTGTTTCTAGCCTCATCTTTATTGACCTGCTTACAGAAACTGCCTCTCCGGTTAACCCTTATGACATTGTCACAGCTAAGGCGAAGAGCCCATCAATATGAGTGACATTGAGTTGGCCATGGCCACCCAGTCACATGACCACTGAGCCCCACCTACCCAGCTTAAGGCAGAGAACCGATTATTAAATTATTTGAATCCCACCACTGAGCACAATCCACATGTTCCCCAGCCTTGGTTAGAATTTTGTGCTAGTTTCTAAAACTCTTTTTTTTTAGTCTGAATTATAGCTATATATGTATTTGGATTCACATATAATTATTTTTAAAAAAGAGAAAATACACTCCTCTACCTTGATACAGTTCTGAGCAATCTGGCCAGCATGATCTTATCTCCCAGAAATTAAGACTTCCATTCCCCTTACTTAATAATGTTTGGTTAGGAGCAGTGGTTCCCAAACTTGGCAACTTTAAGACTTGTGGACTTCAACTCCCAGAATTCTCCCTGGGAGCAGAGCTGGCTGGAGAATTCTGGGAGTTGAAGTCCACAAGTCTTAAAGTTGCCAACTTTGGGAACCACTGGTTAGGAGAATCAGCTCATTTAGTGCAAACTCATACTGGGAATGACAAAACTGGAGCTACTTAAATTAAATCTGGTTACCATTTCAAATTTATGTAATACAACAATTACTTTCCATCAGCATTTGGAAACTTGTGTTAGTATGTGTGGGCTTCCAAATATTAATAGTCTAGGGAATATAAATTTAGCATTTGTTATTAAAATGTTCTGGAAAATGGATGGTACTAATTGATTCAATCCGTATGCTATACTTTCTTTATTGTATATAGCTATGTATGTGATTATGGGTTTGAGCAATGATACATCCTCTTTTCTGAAACCAAGAAAGTCTTGATTGGGTGGGGGACCACTTGGAAATACTCCAATACCACATTTGATTTGCAAACTCTATTCAAATAAATATATCCTAAAGACACTTTAGGTTTCCCAAGGATCTTTTGTGCCTCCATTTTTCAGTAATCTAAAGAAGGGATCTTTTTGGCCTTTGCAAACCCTGGCAAGATTATTTATCTTTGCTGATGCATTACAGTTATTACACATCTATTTGGTAGATTGTTTTGGCAGGGGGCATTTTTAAACAGGTCTGATAATCTGGTACTCTTTACAGTGCTTTGACCTAATTCTCTTGCCACTGGCTTTCTTGACTGGAGTTGAGGAATATTGGCATCCAGGATCCCTAGAAAATACCAAGCTGCCCGGATCTTCCTCAATAAATCCTTCATATTTATCAGAGACTCTCACTCAAGCTACAGTGAGTTTTGTATAGACATAAATAAGATTGTACTGTAACTTGCCTGCAATCATTAGAAGAAAAAATTATTTCAAATAAAAACAGTGATGTAAAAAACCCTAGGATGTCAGACTTGAAGATCATCTTGCTGTTGAGATACAACTTATTCCAAAATAAGTTGTATCTCAACAGCAAAATGATGTCAACCACATACACGATTATTCAGAGATAAATACCATTTGCAAAATTGGAACATACTCAGTGGTTGAGAGAGATCTGCCAACAAAAAGACGAAGATCTTCATTCCAGCCACAGACTCGGTAAATATCCTTAGTTTTTTTCAATAGTAGAAATTAAAACAAAAACTGAATCTTGGACCTTGAGTTATGTGGTGAGAAACCTGGCTCTGCCATTGGGGGCAGATAGAATGACTCGTTGAAAGGAACACTATCTTGTTAGAGAAAAGAACAATTTTAAAGTAAAAGTAATCATGTGAGCATTTTTAGATAGAGAAATGTTCAACGCCGCTACCTTGATTATACAATCTTTTGAAAAACAGAAAGGATGCCATAGCGTGAGGGTATACATAGAGTGACAAAGTCAAGATGAGAAGTTCAGCTATGGGATCATAGCTGAACACCCCCACCCCCACCACAGATTTGGCATCCCAGAAAAGGATGCTTGGATTTTCTCTCATACAATTTAATGCCAGGACAGTGTTTGGGGGCCTAGCAAAAGTACCTGGAGCACAAGGCAGGGTTATTTGAGATCCCAAATAGGGGTGCCATATGTTGAATGAAAAAGCATCACCATTAGAGTGTTGGCCAAAAATATTCATTATAAAATACCTTTGGGAGGAGAAACCAGGTCGATCAATCAATCAGAATGGTGTCATGCTTCCAAATAACGATCCCAATCAATTCAGAACTGAATCAGAACTTTTTTCAAAGATTTCCTTTATTAGGTACATATCGGCACCTTCAGGTATGAATACAACTCTAATATTTCCAGTGGTTTGGTAGAATTAAAAATAGCTACTCCCCACCCCGCTGTGTCATAGATCATTTTGACCAAACAGGTAAGCAGTAGGCTGCTCAGTTGCTCCCCCTGGCTGTTACGAGCGCTGAGATGACCTTGGTTCCCATGAGTCTATCACCGTTATGTCTGGCACACTAGAAAACATTTCACACTACATTGCTCCCCCTCCCCACCCCATATGTATGGCAACTAAGAATGAAGAAAAAGAGAATATGGCTTCAGCTAAAATTGTCTTGAGAGTTGACAAATAGAGTTGGAAAGGACCTTGGAGGTCTTCTGGTCCAACCACCTCTTCAAGCAGGACACCTTATACCATTTCAGACAAGTGGCTGTCCACACTCTAGTCATACAATCCTCCACAGCAGTCCACTAGGAAAATCTGGTTGTTTGCAAAGGCAAACAATAATAACAAAGAGTGTTCCAATTGGAAGAAACATTTTCCTGTGAAGGAAAATTTCCCTCTTGCTATTTTTTATCTGGGTGATCGTTGCTCCCTAAAACCTCCTTTTCTAATTCCAACAGGTTCTTGTACAGTTTTTCTGCCATGTCTTCATTAACATCCATCTGGAAATCAAGAAAGTTGTAATAATTAAATATGCACATACATTTAATAAATAAAATTAATAAATAAAGGGTGGGGAGAGTTAAAAGTGTTAGCTCAGTTGCTGTCTCTTATGCAAGATCTTTCTCTCCACCAAGTTGCCAAATTAAATTTGAAAGTATGGGAAATGCAAATCCAATGTCAGAAAACCTGAAGGGCAAGAAGTTAAATGAAGCCCTGCATGGCACAGTAGTTGAACCTTCTCCCAAAGAGGCGGGAATAGAAAAATCCCAGAAACTAGATTGGAGCAAGGAGAGACAAACTCAAAAATGCCGAGTTTGTGTATTTCTCAAGATCCAGTTTGGGAGATGCCTAAAGAATCCTGCTTCCACATCTGTCTGCCACGTCTCGACAAAGCGGTTATTAGTAAAATCAACTCACATATAATATTTAGAATGACAAAATGTGTACAAGTAGTCCCTTGAGTTACGACTGTAATTGCACATTAAAGTCAGAAGTCGGGATTAAGTGATTCATGTTAAGTGAATGAGCCTCCATCCCAGCACTCCTCAATGCATTCATTAAACAAGTGCATGGGTCAAATGCATGAGTTGTTAAGTGAGCATGGGGTGAATCAAGGGTGGGGAAGATGATGGGGGGGGGGAGAGAGTGCAAGAACAAGACCACCTGCCTCTGGCCTCCCAATGCCTTCCCACACTGCGATATCTCATGTCCCGCTTCACTTCGGTCTCCTCTGTACCCAGCTCTTGCACCCACCACTGATCGATCACTCACTTACCTTTCGAAGATCTCAAGAGCTCAGGATGTCGGGGTAGGAAAGGAGGACAGGCTGTTCCATTACTGGGCCACGTGGCAGAAAAGCGGCTTTTTCTGAGACGCGGCCAAACCTCTTTGTTTCTGTCAAAGCTCTTTCCTTGCTACATGCTGCCTCTCTCTTCCAGCAAACACACATGGTCCCATGCTGCCTCTTTCTCCCAGTTAAGTGCAACCTCTTCTCTTGCTGTGACTCTCCCTTTTTCTGCAGGCAAACATATGTTCTCCCAGGGAATGGATCAGTGGTGGGTTTCAATTTTTTTTTGAAGCTCTTCTGTAGGTGTGGCCTGCTTTGTGGGAGTGGCTTGCTAGCCATGTGACTGGGTGGGAGTGGCTTGNCTCCCATCCGGTCACATGGGCAGCAAGCCACTCCCACAAAGGAGGCCACACCCACAGAGTAGGTTCGAACAATTTTTGAAACCCACCACTGGTTAAATAATACATTTTTCTATTTCAGGATAACATTATCCCAAGGTAAAGAGCAACTGGAAGTGAAGTCCCTCAGGAGGGCCAATTACAGGTGTTTCTTCTTTCTTTTTAGGATAACCATCGATAGGTTTTTCTGCAGCCTTTTCAAATAAGCATGGCAGAGGGAGGAACTTCAAGGCATTGGGAGGCAAAGAGACGTGACGTCAAGAGGGCAGAGGCCAGGCTCAGCCTGGGGCTGCGCAGCTTAGAAGAAGCCCGGCTCTACTATCTGAACACCATGAGCAGGGAACAGCAGCGACTCCAGCAGGAACTTCTGACGTTGCAGAAAAGTGAGGGTGCCTTTGCTTCTTTTCATCCAACATTTGGACGTGAAATCTCTATTTTCTAGTTGCTTAGAAACGACAGAGTAGAATTGATTTGCAGGAGTTGAGAAACGTTGCCAAAGTTGTCTTAGAGAAAACTCCATGGTTAGAAATAGTGTAATTCAGCTTGGGAATCAAATTCCACCTATACCAATCTACTTGCCCTAATCAAATACATTTAGGGTTTACTAGTTACATATAATTTGAATTCCAATTTAAACAAAGATGTTTAAGTTTGCTAATTTTTCTAGGAGCCAGTTTGGTGCCTTGATTAAAGAGGCTCTTCTATTCTCAAATTGGCACTCCTTGATGGCTTTTCACTGGAAAGAACACAGGGGAAAAATCAACAACATTTTCAAACAGTTCGTGTGTTTTATTATTGTCTTGTTTGCCTTTAGAGATGAAACTGAATAGCAATTATTTCTTTTCCCCTTTCTTAGGCTGCCCCAAGCAGAAATTCTCATTGGGCCCTGGACATATTCACTTTAAAGCAACATTTCCTCCTTCTCTGGTTGCACAGAATTCTGGTGACTTCCATTATACAGGATTACGGTAAAAAAAAAATTGTCTCGTTTGAGGTTGTTCAGTTGTATAGGAGCTTTGGCTGTCTACATCAGCAAGTTCGAGAAGAGCCGAGGTGGCGCAGTGGTTAGAGTGCAGTACTGCAGGCCACTTCAGCTGACTGTTATCTGCAGTTCAGCGGTTCTAATCTCGCTCAAAGGTTGACTCAGCCTTCCATCTTTCCGAGGTGGGTAAAATGAGGACGCAGACTGTGGGGGCAATAT